GATGCAAATAAAATATTCTATTAAATTCTATGACATAGAATGTTCTCGATTGCTCAGATTTTATTGCTCATGTTGTTGCATACACTTTAAGGAGGCAAATACTGCATCCGTAATCATAAAATGCAATCGTAAGAATGGCACAAATTAAATCCTGTGCACATAACAAAACAAGTATCTGGCGTCTTAGCAGGTAAAGCCTCAACATATTCACGTAGTTAACAAACGCGACGGTAATTTGCCATCATTGATTTTTTCTTCCGTCATTTCATAACGTACGTGGCTTGTGCCGACACAACATTTTGTTACTCAACGCGTATACACTTGACAATATAACATATGTGATGAGTGTAACATACGATCTAGATTGAATTCGAATTTATGCAAACATGAATATTAAAGCCGAGTAAAAAAAGAAGTTAATACTCATAATAATGCCTGATAATACGCCTGAGCATAAATTATTCATGCAAATCCGAGAATAATATTATTCGCAAGATTTATGAAATCGACAATTATTGTGAGGAAAATGATTCTGCAATTTGTTCTTCACGATGCAGGACTTTTTTTGTATCCTCACCGATAAATATAGAACGAATAGGTCGTAAATAAGCAATAGGTGAAAAGCATAAATCAGCTACAGAACACACGCTGCCTAGAGCTCCACATACTAAGCTTGTTTTTCCCCGCATCTCTTGTCGCAGCGAGAGAAAGATTCTTTTTCTCGTGCGACCAAAGTCAAGGAAGCCGTCAGGGCCGCGACCGGCCTTTAGCCGGTTTTGTATGTAGGGCGCATCGAGTACACGAGGCATAAATCGCTCGAGGCATTCGCCAACGCAAAGTCGACTTACAAAGCGTATTCGCGTAGCCATTGTCGTAGCAACTAGTGCTCGATTTTACTTTTCGAAAGCGCGCCCCGAAAAACATCTGTTCGCGCAGAGACATGTGTCAAATTAAACGCAATTGTTAAAAGTCATTGTGTGTTGAGTTGAACGTTCCTTTAGATTTTTGCTTCTTATTTTTATCGAAAAAAAAAAATCCGAAGAAACTTTCTGCTCAGCCCAATATTTTTAGAGGGACAAAACCTCATCTGCAAATTTCCATCGTTTGATCCTTCTAATCTTATAGCATGTAAATCGATGGAGCAAGTTTTTATTTAGCGCTAGTTTAAGAAATATGGCATAAATAATAAATTCAGCGCAGCCTTTCCATCCTCCTTACGCCATTGTTGGCGCGCAGCAGTAGTAAGCGCACGTACTCGTGGATAGATCGACATATATGTGTAGCAGTAATCGGCCGGGTGCGGAGGGCCGAAGTGTGTGATCGGTGAAAGGAGAGAGACCATTTTTTTAATTGGTTGTCTCGCGGAGGTGGTGGCGGGAGTACGCTTCCTCGAAGCCGCGAGTCGCGATTAAAACGTAAAAATAGCTGGCGCGCGTACTACGCGATCGTTAGTCGTCACCGTCGCTGCATGGTCCTACACGCGAATTCGCGGCGGGTCTTCTGGCTGCACGTTCCGCATATATACGTGTATTCCGCACGCGTACTCGTCGCGGTCCTCCTCGCTTACTGATCATCAGTTCGGTCGTGTCACTACGAAGTGACAGTTCGCGCACGATGGTCCATCGCGATCGCATCCGCGCGAATCGTTAATTCCGACGTTTCGCAAAGCGGGATTAGCACCGGGAGAATTGAATTTCGGTATAATTTCGATGAGCTTTTCAAATTTTTTAATGTCACAAACGTGATAAGTTGCGAAATCGACCTCTACGCTCACTCGCGACAAATGGAAATCCGATAATCGGTATCTAGGTTTTTTTTTTTTTTTTTAAGTATTTGTATTATAAAGAATTAAACTCAGCGAAATTATATCAGTTGCGAGCTCCATTTAATGTCAAAGCGTTTGAGTTACTAAAAAAGAGTCAGCGATGTATCGTTAAACTTGTGATTTTTTCTAAATTATTTTCATAAGCAATAATTGTCGGTAAACTTTTTATCGATTGACAACTCGGTTCTTCTAACGTTGTGGTGTTGTAATAGAATGGAAACATGCCATTTTAGTACAGTGCGACTGAAACTGAAGTGTGAACGTGAAGCTCGGGTATATTTAATTGGATATTTAAAAATTCCCTGTGCCTTGATTTGACGAAAATATTGATTTTACTGATTGATATTGATTTCGCCATCTAATGGATTCTTATTCAGTTTGATATTATACGAATGATCGTTTCCTAGTAATAAAATTTATCTCTCGATTTACTTGCTGCGAAACAGAAGCATGCGGAGTGAGTTGATACTAATCGCTCTCTTCGAGTATCGCACAATGCTGTAGATCGACGGCTTGATTAATACTGATTGAGAACGAGGTGCTGGTAGTCTGTTCCAAATTGAACAACGTTTAATAAAGTCTGGAAGTCAGAGATGTGTGTCCATTTGTGTGCGTTTCATTCGGAATACCGACGAGCGCTTTGATAGCTCTGATTTCCTCGTGCGACACTTTTAATTGATAATTCAACGACGAAAAGATAATCGCGCGATACGCGAGTGAATTAAGATATTTATTGTTTTTTTTAATATTACGGAAGTGAATCGTTTCGATTGAAATAAATTGAAAAGAATGAAGATTTACTCCAGTATTCTTTCTCATTGTTTTGGTGCAACAAATTTTCTATGATAATTTTATTTATACAAGACCGATGATCACTTCGATCGATGTCAGACATAAAATTGCTATTGTTTCATCGATCTGTATCGCAACTTATTTTAATTCACCGTCGCGTTTGCATTTTTCAAATACGCTATGTGCATTATGTTTTATCTTTGTATATATCTTTGGTCACGTCTTAAATTTCAAAACAGCAATCAATATTCGAAGCAGCGCTTATGTGTCTTTTTTTATCAATTTTTTTCGATTACGCAAGGAACACGTGAGCATTACGAGTAAATACTAAAATTGAGAAAATATTAACGCGGAAAGTGTCGAAGACAATAATGTTTCCTTCGTATCTCAATCGGCATGATTGCAAACGCGTAGCTAAATATAGCATCGTGCTGCCGACAATATATCATCGAACAATTATCCAAGATGTGTAGGTTTTTATAGGCTGCTAACAATTTCGCATTAAAGGCATGCCACGCCGCAATCGCGGTTAAATACTTCACCTGCTTTAAGTACAAGCGAGATTTGTAAATGCACTCTCTATTCGATTACAAAATGCGAATCTGTTTCTCGAGGTGATATCAGCCATGAATTATTTCCTCATGAGAGTTTGTTCAAGTATATTTTTTGTTATATTATTCTAAGAAGACCCGTTTCTGTCTAGCATCTTATGTAATCTTCTAACTTTGGCTTATTACCGAAGAAATAAATATATCTTGCTAGACTTTGAAATCATCTTTGATGTTTCACTTAAACTTTGTGTTCATTCCTTTTTTATTCCGGATTATTGTCATTTATAGTATTGAAATTATATTAAATATATGATATATTTTAAGTGTAACTTTTTTAAAATCCATATAAGAGAAATACATATAACTTTTTAAGTTTTACAAATCTGACATTTTCCTAAGAGTTCTTTTTCAACTCAATCGCTCAAGAACTCAAGAATTCCTTTTGGAACGAAATCAAGAATTGTAAAACTCTTTGGAGAAAAGCCAGGACCTTTTAGCAATTATATTGAAATTCTAAAATTGGAGGGCTAATTTCGCTAAAATTGACAGTCAAGCTGATTGACAATCCAATTCTAAAATTGTAATGAGTAAATCATTCAAGTGTTATCGATTCTAAGTTTGAATGACGAAGACCGAAATATGTATATGCATATAAACTCTCACATGTATCCAATTCATATGTATTCTGTTTTTTCTTGCGCTTGCGAATATTCTCTGAAAAAACGAAAAGTGCAGTGTGATACTTTTGCGGCGTATAGCTCGCGCAATTGCGCGTGACATTGTTGCATAAAGAAGAAAAGAGTGTCGCTGTCCGAATTTCGCACGACGAGATCGTGGAGAATGAATTCGATACGAGACCTGCAGCTATTGCTGCGCGAGCGAACGGAGGCGTTGCGATGTCGTGACGAGACAGTCGAAGTGCTCATGAAGGCGCTCGAGGAGCGCGACATGACGATCTGTTACCTCCAAAATGAGATCGATAAGTTTCGGCAGATTGTCGATCTCGGTTTGGCGTCGGGTGCCATCGGTTCTAATCAGAGACTCAAGAGGCAAGCCATATCGGCCGAGCCGCTCAGAAGTGACGTAAAGCCGGTGGTGAAGTTCACCAAAACTCAAAGGTAGATCGGCGATAAGTGAATGTTGCGTGATTTTTTATCTGCTAAGAATAGTCTTCCTGATTTCTCTTGACGTGTGTATTTATTGAAGTGTAAATGCGATTCACATTCACATAATTGATGAATAAAATGAATAAAACATAATTTGCTAATATTGCATATACACAATAGAGATTTTGCTTTACAAAACTGTTTTCTTGACATGCGTTATAAATAAATGGCCATTTTATCCGATCTATAGAAATATAAAATATACCGTATATAAGCAGCAATTGAATTTCATACAGTCGCTGTAGTAGATGATAGAGTTAATGATAGAGTAAGTTCATGTGAGGTATTTCACTGCAAGCGGTAACTACGCATGAATGATTTTATAAGCGGAACTTGATTAAAAGAATTCAAGAAAATGTCAATTTTAGCATACACGACACACTCTTTATCATATAGATTAAAATTTTACGTTAAAATAATTTTATTATAACATATTATTACGTTAAAATGATTTTATTATAACATATTATTATAGTTCTTTGTGAAAATCTTTTAAAAATTCAAGATTTATTAAGAAATTTGTAGCTAAAAGACTTTTCTGTACGACGCATTGTACATATTTAATATTTTCGATACTTATTATTTATTTTCTCACTTTTCCGTAAGAATATTACTTTTTTTTAACACAGAAGAAAGAAAATTAACGATGATTGTTTTTGCTTCCAGATCTCGCGAGCTGATCAAGACTGCCATATTGGACAACGATTTCATGAAAAATTTGGAGCTTACGCAGATTCGGGAGATCGTCGATTGCATGTATCCTGTTACATTTCCAGCCGGTTCGATAATTATACAAGAGGGCGATGTTGGTTCTATTGTTTTTGTTATGGAGGGTAAGTAAAAATAATTATATGTTTTTATAAATAGTTCGTTGAAGTAACGTAAAGAATATATAATAGTTTGACACAAAATTATTATTTAAAAATAAATTAAGTAAAACGTAGATAAATATACAAATAATAATATCACACGATAAAAACCTAAAATATGAATTAATTATTGATGATTAAATTGACTTATTAATAAAATGTAATTTATTTATCTATAAAACGGAAATATTGATAAAAAAAATGGACCGAAAGATGTAGGATTCTCACTAAAATTCTCATTAAAAAATATATCTGACAAAAAAATATTCAGCGAAAATAATACAGAAGTCGAATCTTCTCATTTTAATGTTTACGTCTTATTACTATTATTACTATTATTAAATCGAGTTAATTTAATTGCACAATTGCTTAAATAATCCATATCGAGATTATTTCGTTTACGCAAATGGAGACGTAAATGTTTACCAGCACTTTGGAGATTACTAACTCTTGAACAATTATGTATAACTCTGCTATGTTCGGGGAAAAACTGCAAATTGATAATTTAGTGAAGCAATTAATTTGCGCGCAGATTACGTACTCTTATCATCGGCCTTAACTTTACATTCACATTAAAATTGCTTAATCAGTTATTTACGCATAAGTATAACGCACATCGTTATCAGGAGTTCATGTTTACTATGACAATTTCATCAAATTTTCGCATTTTTTGAAAATAATCTGTGGAATAATTCAATTGTGTTAATAGTTTATTTGTTAGCACAATTCTTTTATGCCTGAATTAGATATTTCGAAATTGAACGTAAAATATTCATGCGTCAGATATTCGCAAAATGTAGCGAAAAGAATGCAAGTGCGGACATTCGATATTGATTAATCATTACGATAGAAATGATTTCGTGGAACATCAACATGATATCGAGTTTATGTTAAACGCTGCTACTCCATTCTTCGATATAATATTCTGCTCCTCTCAGAATTCGATTTCCGTCAGACGTATCGATAGCATTTCGTAATGAATGACGTGCATTGCTGCATTTTACTTTCACGTAAAAACACATTCTTGTCGCTTCCCTCTCTTTCTCAATTCCGTTCCAATTATTAGAATTATCACTCATCCGTGTCGTTGCAGTCACGTAATCGATGGTGAGCGTTCCAGTATGGTAGATATTATACACTGCAATTATTTAATATTTCGCATAAAATGAGAATCTCTTGTGGCTTTCGTTATATCTGCAATTTCCTTGGATATATCTTTGTGTTAATTTTTCCACAAATTTACGGACTCGTTATTTAAATATTTAAACATGTTTAAAGAACTGAGATCTTCAATAGAAAATTTTTTCAATCAACTTGGACGAGAAAAGAATGCGAAATCGAGCTCCGTAAATAATCATTGAAAGATGAAAGACGTCAATGACTCGGAGTGAATGTTATTTTTATGTATCTACTTATGTGTGTGCGAAGTTATTTTTACTTTCGCATTATAATTTGTGCAAAAGAAGCTTTAAATAGTCTTTTTATACTTGGCTATATACGCGTTGAATGAGAATTTATGCTTACCGTTATCGAACCATTTACACTTTTTTCGTCAATGAAGCCAGCAAGCTCCTGCTGTAATTTCCGAGTCCCGGACCTTCACGGTCGCAAAAACTGCACTTTATACGTGGGAAGCGGTTGTGTGCGGGGGCGAAAATGACGAAATGAGAACCGCTGTCCTTTCTCTCATGAACATACGTTCATAGTGGGGACTCCTGCGGCTTTGTCGAGGGAAGGGAGTTTCTCTCGTGACGCAGCTTGCCGCTCACGGGCATACTTTTCACCAGTGCTGTCAGTGAGCGTCAGACGCGGCGCGAAGTAACGTGAATGTTTGTGCGATCGCAGCGTGTCCTCCTTCGGCAGGATTCTTCTCCTGCGTCGCCTTTCGAAAGGGGGTGCAGCGCGTGCCTGTGATGCGACGTAACGTCATTCCGCACGAACAGCAAGATCGAAGAGTCCCGTCGTGAAATTCGGAAAGGAAACAGCTATCGGGTCGAGCGCGACGTATCATTTTCGTTAAGTGTCAAAGAAAACTCCCTGTCGGCGTCGCGCCCCATCGATTGTTCGATGTGACAAAAAAAGAATCAAGTTCGCGTGAGAACGGACACTCGACGGAAGTACATCCTGTGAAGGGACTCGAGAGGCTCCTCAGGAGATTGACAGTCGGCGATGGCATGGTTTCCCGCTCGGCGTTTCGCAGCGCGTCGATCTGTCAGTGACGGACGCCGGACGCCGGAAGTGGCGAATGAACGATCGTGAATGCGTGGATCCCGACGTCAGTGTCCGCCGATCTTATTTCTCGACGCAGTCCGCTCGACAGTTCGCCTTCTTTCGCGCCGTAACGGAATACGTAAATCACATAAACCGGGACGGATACGGCCGCGAGGAAACGCGGCTTTTCAATCTGATGATTGATGCGAGCTCGGAGATAAGTGGATCTTTTCTCGTATCGTCGATCTTCTTTCTGGACCGCTGCCGAATTCCGATACTCCTTTAGCTTAACTGAAGCTTTACCGAATTTTATCTATAAATTAATTACGATTTCAATGTTGTGCTACAAAGACTTTTTTCGAAATATATCGCACTTGCGAGAGCGCGAAAAGAGTATTCTGCAGCGTGCACACGTGTAAACTAAACAGATTCCTGCATCAATATTTAGTCAGAAGCCTCAAATTGCAATCGAAAAATAACACTGCATCTCACAATCATCAATCATCATTGTTGTGGACTATTTTAACGGTTAACATTCTGTTCCGTTTGCTCGTGAGAATTAATCGCTCCACATAATCGCGCTAAGAAACGGAGCCTCGGAAAAGCGAGTCGCAGAGAAAAATGTGTGTATCCGTCGAAACATTAAGCCCGCCTCACCGAACGAGAGCCACGCCGGCATCGTCAGCGCATAGCGCGCTTCGGCTTTCGACCTCTGCGCGCACCGAGTAGTCAGTTCGAGGGCCAGGAAAAAAAAATCGCGAGCGAAAGTCTCGAGCCAGCGAGTGGTCGTAGAACGGGCGGGCCCGTTCGTTTCTCTGTTACTCGCCGCGAGTTCGAGGTCATGAAGGTCCGGAGTTATCCGGGCCGGGCGGTTCTGGAGGACCCGGAACTCATGCTGGATCCGGACGCGACGCGCGGCAGAGCGATGGAGCTGCTCTACGAGGCCAGCTGGCGGGAGTGCGGGGTCAATTGGACCAGTAACGGCACCGGTAGCAGCAAAATTTCCCGTCGACAAGACGACGCGTCCTACAAGCGTTTCTACACCGACGTGGGGTCGCAAATTGAGTTGGAAGATACGAACGGACCGTCCACGCAGGAGAACGTGCGGTCCAGGGGCTCCAGCAGCGCCGACACCACCGAAAGCGATTCCTCCGAAGTGAATCAGCCGGCGCCGTCCAGCAACACTCAAGGCGGCTTCCTTATACCGAGACCGAGGCTGATCGTGCCGGTTCACACCTACGCGAGAAAAAGACGCACCGGTGCGCCGCAGCCTATCAAAAGACGCCAAATACACGAAGGTACTTATCTGTCATATCACCGAACGCGCCGGATCCGGCTTGATTTTTATAGCTTTATTGCTTCTCGAAATTCGACGAATCTTATTTTTGCGTCAACACGAATCAGAGCTCCATATATGGGCTGATCTTGAACGCACACGTTTCGTACAGTTCCCGAAGTGGATTTGTTCTTATGTTAATATTAAATTTGAGTTACCTTAACAATGCCTGGCTTTAACACTTTTCAATGTTTTATGAACACTTGAGGTTAAATAAAATTTTTCTATTGAAGAGAAGTTTACTTGAGGATATCTTAAAAATGAAGTTATTACTCATTGAAATTAATTTGCTAATTGCTGAAATCTCAATTGCTTAAATGCGGAGAATATTGATAATGTTTTTGCAAATATTAACAAACTATTTGTTTAAACTTTTAATTTTCACGAGTACTGTTAAATAATTGCGTTATATTGATCAAGACTGAATGTAGAATGCATCAGAAATTGCGCATTTCTTGAAAGATATTCGCACACTTCCATAAAAAAGGAGAAAGTGCGTGATTTCCGAGACACTGTACATGACCGGACGTGATTGTCTTACAATTCAATATGCGTATACACGTGATACGCCTTTATATAATTATTCCTGCATACAACGGAATGTACGTAACACGAAGCACATTACATGTATGTTTGTGGTCTTCTTCGACGTCGCGTGAAAAGAGAACAAAGGATTTTAAAACCGATGTCACGTCGAGTTGACCCAGATATGATATTTTTTAGAGCACGAAACTAGATTATATGTCTTTGGAAATAGACTCTTCATCTGTTCCGCTGCTCGAGAAAAGCGATTTTATCATTTGCTTCATACACGCGATTGTGTTCGTGTTTTGCAATGACATATTTCAATTATACAAGGCGGATATGAAGAATGTCGAAACTTTTACACTTCGCGATTAACACGAATTAGGCAATTTATCTCGTATCTTAAAAATTAATGGTTTATGATGAATATGAATAACGCGTGAATGCTCAAATTCTTCACAGTGTAAAAAATATTAAGATATTTTTATCAAATATCGATTTTATGCGCGTAATTGTTTTTCAGAACTTTGCTGTCTTTAAAAATCTGCGATGAGTGAAAACTCGTTTATACACATTTAATGTGTATAAAGTAATGAAATTCACACCAAACGAAAATATTTCTCGCATCTCTGAAACGAATATTTTTCGAAACTTTCTACACATAAAATTTTGTATTCATGTAAAACTTACATCGTGCGTTCGTTATAATTAGATGTGTTATGAATGTGATCAATTCTGGATAATCACGTGAACTTCTGGCAATTTTCTCTCTTCGAAGTGAGTTTTACTGCATTCATAGACATCTCGCCCAGTATTTACAAGGCGATTTACGGTCCCATACGCCATAGAGAAAGTCCCGTATCAAGAATAATGGAAAGCAAAGCTAGCTCATTGTTGCGTGTTGTTATTATCCATCGACATGCACAAATGTGCTAAGATATTAATATTTATACATGTTCAACTGTAAACAGATTAACGTGTAATGAGTTTATGAAAGTCGTACACAAATCAGTTATGCAAATTTGATATAACAATAATATAAATATCTTAATATGTTTCAAAAAATTATTTTAGACTATTCTGATAAAGCATATCTAATCGAAATATCTGAAAAATTTCCAATCTGAATTTTCTTTTAGATTTTTCTTCTTACTATTATGACTTGTAGAATAGTTAGAAGCCAACCAACCGTTGTTTGTAATTTTTATCAACGCGTGCATTACTTTGAAATTGATAAGAAAAAAAGGTGCTAATATCATACGAACTTTGCATTCCTGCAATATTTTGCTAGTATATCTTTAATGTTGAATAAACATGCGTTAAATTGTCGCAAATTTTTTTTAATTGAGAAAACGAAATCGTTGACGTATGAATATATTTTTTTTTATAAATAATTAAATATAATAATCTTTTATTTCTAAAATATTTTCTCTGCGACAAGTAGCTTCTCGGTCTTTTCACACTTGATTCTAACTCTGAAAGTATCCAGATGTGCACCGAAATATTTGATAACCCGGACATCTGGTTTTGAGAACCGTCTGGAGCTGAAAATCTCAACAGCTGCCGCGACGGAATCTTTTTGTTGCCAAATCCAAGTTTTCGAGTCTATTTTATCGGCAGATGTTTCAAGAAACTGTTGGTAAAATGAAGCTAGCAGTTCAATAAAAAAATTAAAATAGGACCTAATATATTATTACAAATTCGCAAAGATTATGACTTTTTAGTAGTAGTAGTAATTAATTTCGTAATTAACTATTCTTAATTATGTTGCACGCATTAAATCGATTGGATTGATTAAGCTCTTATTTAACAATAATTATGGCACGTGTAAATCAAAATCCCGGGACGCGATAAGGATTTACGCCGGATATAATTATTCTTGTATGCGTATATTTCTTAATCATAACGACCAAACGAATGTAATTGCAATTAACAATCGTTCCATTTATAGACACAAACACGTGAGATAATTATTCTAGACGCGCGTTATTTGTTACGTGCGAAATCGTTCGGACGCGATCTTTTCGTTAAATCTTTTATTTAACGTCGACGACATAAGCGGTCCGGTAATTGCTACGTAAGATCGCGTAGATGCGACGATTTATTTTTGTCAAAGCATCATCGTGACTCATTACGGCCATACGAATATGTCTGAAGCTAGTCGACGCTCAAGGACTTGCGCTAACCACAAGTGTCGTCTCCGCTAATTAAAATTATAATTGTCAATAAAAAGACCGTCGTTGTCTACGTACGTGTAAGCTCAACCAAGAGAAATGAATTATCTTGTGTTCTATTAAGTTCAGTTGTAGGCATTAAAGAGCAACGAGTTCCAACGATGGTGTTTCCTAGAGGAATGAATTGATTGAGAATTCGGTCGCGTAATGTCGAAGCATCAAGTTAATTCACACCGGTCGTCATTTGTGTGACGTGTTACTTAATTAATAAATTTATCCCTTAATTAATAAATTCATTCCTTTTCGAATAATATCAGATTACTCGTCGACTTCTCCGCGATTAGCATCTGGCGAGAATAAAAATAAAAAGAAAGAAAAAAAAATTCGAAAGCTACTGCGACCGGTAGTGACTGCTTAAACGTTTAACAAGCAGTTGTTGACCGATTTCCGCAACCGCGAATGAGCCAATTCAACATCCTGTTCTGCGCACCTTTTGCGCAAAAACCGTGGCTCACAGTTTAAAAGCAACAATGAAGCAATCAGCATCCGACCAATGGACTGAAGGTCTCGTTATGACGCTCGTATCGACCCTCGCGATCGTGCACGGTGACGGGCTCTACTTCTCTCAGGTGCTACAAATGCAGATAAACACCTGCACTTGAAAATTTGTTTCACGAAGTTATAAAAGAAACTCCATTGTGCGAAACGCGATCAACGCGAAAGTGAAGGACGTACCCGCGAATTCTGCAAAATAACTCAAAATTATTTTATATTATTTCTTCACGACAGATCCGTCGATTTTATTTAGCTAAATTATGTTCCTTGTAATCGTTGAATTTTCGACATTCAACATTTTCCAGGATAAAAAGTTATAAATAAAATAGAGCAACAAGGCGTATGGCGTTTAGCGCGATAAAAATATTTCAAATTGATCATCGATAAAAATCGATGTTTCAAATTGAAGTGTTCCGATACAAAAATGAAATTACGCTTATTACATTTTTGCGGTAAAATTCTCCGAGTGCTTCTTCATGCACCAATGCGAGTGCAAACTACCGGAGTGAATAAGCAGGAGTTTGGTTATGCCGGTTTCGTGTAAAACCTCGAGGGGATATCGAAGCGTAAACTCTTTGTCCTGTTATGTCGTCATGCTAGGCCTTCCATCGTATGTTATATATATATATATATATGTATATATATATATATGTAAGGTTCGTGGGTATATTCAGCGGCTCTCTATGCGAACGCAAGCAACCGGTGCAGTACGCGGACGAACCTCGCGACGATGTTCTCGGTCCCTTTCTCTTTCTCTATCGTTCTCTTTCCCTCGCGAGGTTTGTCAGTGTCAGGTATATTGGGCGAGCTTCTTTGTTCTCCTGCTGAAGGTATCAACGATTGCGAACATCATTTGATTGCCTTCTCGTCCTCGAGCCCTCGTGAAGTGTGGCGATTGACGCTTTGCAAAAATGCGAAGCATTGAAATTGATTGCGAAGACTACGTGCGCAACTCATGGTGTCGATATTGTATTTTTTTTTTTTTTGCCTTTTTATGACATTTCTATTTTTATACGTGAAGATACGTCTGCAGCTATACGGTTTTATCGCACACTTCGAAGGTGGATTTGCTTTGGATGATTTGCCTTTCATATATGACTTATAACGAGCTCGTGTGTGATTTTTATTTTAATTTTTAGATATTGGTGCTCTGAAACATTTGAAAAAGCATATTAATATTTTGCGAACAAGATTTGAGGAATAATGATCTGAAGACGATCTATAATTCGCAACAGAATTCGAAATACATAGAAATCTATTTATAATTTCATGTAATGGGATATACTCGAAGAATTGGAATGCGCAAGTATAAAATACATATCATATATATTTTGTGCATGTGTATATTATTTCTTTTAAACGTCTTCCGTATTACACGGCATGTAAAATTGTAACTAAAATTCTATTCCGAATTCTGTGTCAAATTATGGATCATCTAAAGTGAACTTAATTTCGAAGATGTTATATCATTACGATAGACGTGCAATTATTATTATAAATTTTGGATATCCTAATATTTACGATCAATATCGATAACGATAAATTACCTATTAGATGATATGAAGCGTTTGCAGTGTCCAATCACGATCACTCGAGACCATTGATTCATTGCTTGTACAACGTACACGTTATCTGGCGCAGCGTTCAATATTTGTTAAACAAACGGTACGCATAATCAGTTGTTTTGGTGGAATGATATGATGACACATGAGAAACATCCGCGTTTTCGTATAAACGGGACTGTGCAGGAATGCACGTCAGTTATATATTTTCAAAACGCATCACAAGCTGTTTTATTCTTGTGAAAGTGATAGACACGAACGAAGGACAACTCTCTCGACTTTCGCGGTGTAGTTACGTAATTATATATGCTATGAATACCCATGCACAATTATTTGCGAAGATTAAACGGATAGTCACGCAGATCGAAAAGAATACAATCCGCATGATTTGCACATTTTGTCGACATTCGACTCCAGCTTCAAAAGTGATTATTCAGACTTCGTAGATATTTTTATTCTCATAACATTGACTCAAAAGAAATTCTCATATACGATTCCTACGCAGAAATACGACACTCTTGTGCAAAACAACTGATATTGATAAGAATATGAACAAACTGATTTATCGAATTTGTTTAAAAATTTTTTGGATAACATGTAAGGTGAAGAATCTACATGTGACAAAATGTTTATGATTTTTAAAGCGCATTAAAAAAAAATTATAAACGATTTGAAAAATAAATGATATATTTTTATACGATATTTATTTGTAGACTTTTGAGATGCTAGTTTTCATGGAAATGTATAATTGTTGCGTACTCTGAAAATATTTTCCTGTTTAACAAAATATTTAAATACCATCTTATATATTATAGATTTATAATAACTTATACATTCTGATTAAATTTGTTTATCTATTGTTATTTAATTTAGTGTAGTGTAGTTTACGAGCTACGGGACGATTTAATCGCATAGAATTGGCATCTTCTGTTTACCCAGCTTTCATAGCATGCAATGCTATCAACAAGGCTCGCACGTTGTTTCTTCATTAGCATTGCAATTATGCACACTTTCCAAAGTCTGTAATGGCGATGCGCACGCGAGCAACATTTTCCAAGTTTTCTGGATTTACAGTTACGCGCTTTACACAAGATAATTTTGCAATAAAACTCTGCACTTTATTGAGTTTTATAATAATTTTTTAATTATTTTACCATTTTTTTTCAAGTTATATAGGGGAAGAAAACGAAAAATTAAATAAAAATGTTGTTAGACAGTTTTACGTAAAAAATGATTTTCTTGCGACTAAATATGATATAATGTTTTAATTGCAGAGAGTAAAAAAACAAAGATAATCACAATACGAGGTATAATATTCTCTTTAATATGGCTTTATAATTATTATGAAGGTTCCACATAATTTTGGAAAGTGCAGAACAAGGGTATAAACATATGTATGTAGTATTAAAATTTATCACAATGATTACTATTAGTTAGTTATTACAATGGTTACTATTAGTTATAATTGTAAGTGACATGCATTCTCGTGATATAGCAATCGCTAAGATAATACGCGAGTTCACGCATCTTGGAATCTATTGTTCTGAATATAGGACACGCAGCTACAGAAGCGATTGTATCAGCTTCTATTACGTCTTTCGCGTATGCAAATTCATGCAACTTTGCAAAAGTTTTTTGTCTACCGTCAAGAATCAATGTCTACATGTAGAAAAAGGATATATTAATTAAATATTAATGTGCGTTATTAATTATTATGACAATACAATATAAAAACTATTTATATCTTACAGAATTTACAATTGAAAATAAACAGTTCACGAGTATATAAATGTTAAAAAAAATGAATTTAAAATACATAAAATTCTTACAAGTTTTTGACAAAATTAAAATCCGGATTAGAAGGTCAGCGGCACGTCGAACTGGGGCAAGAGTGCAAATCGTGATCATGTTAACGGGCGTGTAATCGTGACGGAAAGTTATGAAACGCGATGGCAGATATAGCAAAACGTTCATTGCTCGTACATTCCCTTCAAAGTAGCTGAAAATTTTCTTATTAATTATTTGCATTTTTTTAGTTTTTTTCTTTTTTTTCTCTCATATATCTCTCATATCTATAATAATTTTCAATTGTTTACCTTGTGTATTAATCTTTTATTTGGATATATTGTGTAGAATTATTGATAGATTGAACAATTAATTATTAGTAAAGTTATTATTTGTAAAGTTAAAATGCGCATAATATATTATCTCCTATTCATTTATATTCTTATATTTTATTTTATACTAAGCCACACAAGCGCGAACTATGCGCGCATTATTTTTTTCCATTATATAATAATTTAAACTTCTACTTTCTTTAAAACACTTCTGCTTTTTGTATAGTAACAAAAATACAAGCTGCCAAAGTAATGTTTAATGCAATCGTCTCGACAACAACCGACCGGTAATAAACAAAATTGCCAACGCAAACATCGTGATGACAATCGCTCAATGACACGTAGTAACGCGCAACGCGAATCCACCGATGGACAATGCAGAAAAGAGGGCCTCTTTAAGAGACCTAACAAGTAAATAACATTTAAAATAGCCTCTTTTAAAATAGGATATTTTATATTTTTATTTTTTTCTGTATTTACACGATCCAAATTAATTAAAATTATTCAAGAAGATTCGTAATTTATAACTGAAATAATAAAAAGACAAAAGTGTAAGCAAAATGTAAAAATTTTTTAAACTCACAATTCGAGCGAATTTATTGTATTGTTGCTAAATTCGATCATGGTATGTGATAGTTCGATGGTTGAGAAGGGTTTGATACGTTGTTCAATACGATAGTTGCGTATTTGCAACTGGGTATGTCCATAAAAAATAAAAACAGCGAAGACGCGGAGTAATATTATTCCGCAATAAAGTGTAAAAATGTTTCGCAGAAATTTAAACAAATTATGTTCAGTTCCTAAAAACAAATTATGTATAGTTCCTAAAAACAAATTATGTATAGTTCCTAATATTCGGGAAACAACGATATAACTTTACTTTCGAAACAATTTAACGTACACATTGCACATATTGTAGAAAGCACTAATCAATAATTTAGCAGGGATATACGTACGTTCTATTTCTATTTCTATTTTACATTCTTTTACGCTTATTATTGAAAGGAATTGAAATAGTGAGAGAGAAATACAAGTTGAAGTAAATTTATTTTTATTGATATTTTGAAAATGGGCACTAGCGTTAGAAGAATGTAAAGAGTCGTGCAACAGTCATGACGCAATACTTGTATGAAGCACGTGCTATCGAAGAACGCTTTTACAGAATTAATCGAGTGTTTCTGAAATCGATTGCTTTATGGCCTTACCAACAGTCATATTTTTGGCGAATACAGAAAATATTATTTGCCACTATTATGATAACATTTCTTTTGGTTCAGGTATTGAATCATATTTATACAATTTTTTTCGATTAAATAGTTACATTCATTAAATATGTTAGCTTGCCTCTGTTCATTTCTTTTCACATTTATTATTTTTAAATTTGTTTAATTAAAAGAAAATTGTCTTATCTTTTTTGTATAATAAAATGTATATAAAATGTTTGTTTTTACGTTTGTACATTGTACGTACGTTGAAGAAATAATTTATAACCATTATATATGTTAAATGTTCTTTTAGTTGCTATCATTTGCTACAATACAGTATAGTAGAGATCTATTTCTTAAAATTTTTTAATTTGTCTTCCTTATTACTTTTGGTATGAGAAAGTATTGCTTTTTTGTCATACAGACAGATTCTGCAAGTCTGTTTTATTTGGACGTTACGCTGTAACATTTACAAAGTAAATTGTATTTTAACAATTGATAATGTAATGTATGTGTATGTGTATGAAATAAACAGAAGAACCGATTGTATCTTTATTATTATAAAAAGCAGAAATGTTTTAAAAAAAGTAGCAGTTTAAATTATTATGTAATTATTATATAACAGGGAAAAACTGTACAACCTAGTTTTAATTAAAATTTATCTATATATTTAAAAAAATTTTTTTCTATAATAAAATGTGCATAAATCTAATTTTGATGAATATATAGAAATATTTTATAATCAATATGTATGTTGTTTATTTTTGTAGTTGTTGCCATTTGTTACAATGCAATTTAATAGAGATCTTTTTCTAAAGATTATGTGGGGTGTCTTTATATGTACAACCCCCACGATAAAGTATTGTTTTTTTGCGGTTAAGGCGGGCACTGTAAGTCTGACAAGTATTTTATTCGAACATTACATTTTAATATTTATAAATAAAATTGTATTTAAACGATTCAGAAAAATTGAAAATAAAATAAACAGGTGAAGCAATTGCTGGAGCGAATGCGAAATGATTGGAATTTATTGAAAAGTAAATTGGAAATTGATATTATAGAAAAGTACGCTAGCAACGCAAAGCTTTTCACAACAATTGCAACGGGTAAGAATGTTGATCATCGCAAGCGCGCCTATTATGTATCATATAATTCATAATATATAATTATTTCTCTGCATATTACTAACAAAATTAAGAAGATTGCATTTTTTAACAATTAATGTGTAATCATTTATGTTAATGGATTTAAATTGAACTTAACATTTCTCAGCTGTACACATCACTGGCTTTTTTTTACGGTGGTATTTCAATCTTGGCCACTGATTCTTAATGTTATATTACCATTGAACGAATCACGATCCTGTGAACTTGTCGTAGTCGTGGAATATTTTGTCAACAAGGAGAAATATCTGTACGTTATGCTATTACACGAATTTTTAGTTATATACATAGGAACGACTGGATTGTATTTCACCGGTATCATATTTGTAATATATATTCTGCATACGTGTGCACTGCTCAAAATTGCAAGGTATTTTGTTAGACGTATTTGTTCTTTCAGCACTTGCTTCAATATTGAAGTTATTTTAAATTGATTTATATGTATATAGCCATCGAGTGGAAACCGTGTTCGACATAAGTATGTTAACTAATCCTAGAAGAGAGTATCTTTTTTCTCAGAGGATTGCAGATGTAGTTGTTGTGCATCGAAGGGCTATTGAGTCAGTATTTTTATATTTATGTTATGGTACTTTCTGTATAATATCTTATTCCCTGTATTGCTTTTTATCTTTTAAAAGTAATATTGTATATTCGACTTTATATGTTTACCCCACTTTTAATAGTAAATGCATTTTTTCGATGTATGTTTGCATTAAATGCAATTTAAATTAGAAATTAGTAAAAATTTAATATATATTTAAGAATTGAACATATGTTAAATATTTCAAGAATATACTTAACTATATCGTCTATGTAAAATATACATAATATCAAGCCACTTTCATCAGTATGGAATGTGCGACCAGTATACATTGATCGGATAATAGCATAATAATTTTTTTATCGTAAATATACAATATTTTTGAACATATATGAAACATATGCTATGTTGATAACGTAATAATTTCAATATTTAGTTTTTTATTAAGGTCTCTCGATTACTTGATGTCTAATATTATGATATTATATAGTATTTTGATCATTGTTGGTGTCATTTCTTTAAGTTTCAGTCTTTTTCAAGTAAGTAATTTATTTTTCTTTTTATTTAGACGTTGATAACGTGGATCGTTCATTAAAATGGCATTTTGTTGCAGTGTCTCCTACTAATTAAAATAGCGAACGATATAACTGGTATCTTTCTAAGTATTGTAGCGATAGGTGTTCAGTTACTTTACATGTTTATCGGTAATTATGTTGGCAAGAGTAACGGATCATGGAGTAAATTTTTTCCGTGCAACGTAAGTATCGTGTTTAATACATGATCACATTTGTGTGTGTAGGATTAGTT